TCAAGACAATAGAAATCAGGATTTTGCTAAGAAATTTACCCATGTTTAAATGTTTACAATTGACTTTTTTTATAAAGCTATTAAACATTGTGTGAACCAAATTTCTCCTAGCTACCAGTTTCCATCCTCACGTTAGGACTTTGTGAGCTATAGTATCTTATCCTTGACTCTCTCGTGGTGGTGACAGCACCGTGTCTCCTCTCTTAGCTCTACCAGTGATTTTTTCAATGGCTTTCTGTCACCTAGCAGAGAAAAGCATGGCTTGCTGGAAAATCATGCTCTGGTTCCTACTATCTTTCCCACTTCATCACCCACCATTGGAGAACATGTTTGCATCCTGGTCTTGCCACTTACTAACTATATGATTCTGAGCAAATAAATTTCCCTGTACATCAGTCTTTTCACCTTCAAAATGGGGATAATAATAGCACTTCCTTCCACAGGGCTGTTGTGAGCGCTAAGGAGTTGCTGTAGGTAAAATGCTCAGTGTGCAGCATGTAGCAAGCCCTGTGTAAGTCGTCTTGTCCCCCAGAAGCCAGGCTCAAAATGCTTTGAATCTGTACCCTTCTGAGCTGTAGTTCTTCCTCCTACAATAAATGCCCTTCACGTTCACCTGGCAAATCTCTTCGTCTTTCCGGTCTCACTGAACCTGGCAAACGTTCCCTGACTGCAGGAACACTTAGGTCTTGAATATACCCCATTATCACTTATCACCCAGGATTACAGATATCTTTCCTAAATTGTGCACATCCTTGAAGGCAAATGCTTTTTCACTTTTGTAGCCTTGGGACCAAACACAGTGCCAGGAACATGATAGGCATTCAATAAATAGCATTAAAGGAATGAGTGTGCTTATCTGTTTTTAAAAAATGTGCTTATCACAATTTCCCTATAGATTATAAACCTGTTAAGGACAAGTGCTTCCATAGGCTACATCTTTGTACTCTCTGCCACACCTAGCAGAATTATATTCGATATTCAATCAATCAAGAGTTTTTGTGCTGTTGAAAAATACAATGCTAGCTTCTGATCAGAGAGCTTCCAACCTTTTTCCGTTCTATTTCTATATATTCTCCAGAGATTTGTATCCTTTGAACTCTATAACTGTTTTCTAGACCTTTTGTATGTTGCTGGGCATTTTCTGTTTTGGACAATATGTATCAATGTACATATCTCATTGCTTCACTAGACTGTGAGCTCCTGGAGGCCAGAGTATTTTCTGATTTCCTTGTAGAATTCAACATAACAAGCACCTTTGCCTACAGTAAGTAAGCCTACATGGTGGTTTTCATGAATACAACCTTTTCAACAGAAGTTCTTATGTTTATCAAAGGATTGTTAAAAAAAAAAAAAAAAAAAGTCAAGCATTGTGGCTCACACCTGTAATCCCAGCACTTTGAGAGGCCAAGGCAGGAGGATCACTTGAGCCCAGGAGTTCAAGAACAGCCGGGGCAATATACCAAGACCCTGGCTGTAAAAAGAAAAAATTTAAAATTAGCTGGCTGTGCTTGTACACACCTGTGGTCCTAGCTATCAGGGAGGCTAAGGCAGAAAGATGGCTTGAGCCCAGGAGTTTGAGGTTACAGTGAGCTATGATCATACTATTGCACTCCAGCCTGGGCGACAGAGTGAGACCTGATTTCTTTACAAAAAAAAAAAAACAAAAACAGATTCAATTCTTAATTTGAGGGAACTGGTTTGGTGTCAAATCATGCCATTAAGTTTTGTTCATGTGAAGAAAACATGTCTCAGGCCGGGCGCGGTGGCTCACGCCTGTAATCCTAGCTCTTGGGAGGCCGAGGCGGGCGGATTGCTCAAGGTCAGGAGTTCAAAACCAGCCTGAGCAAGAGCGAGACCCCGTCTCTACTATAAATAGAAAGAAACTAATTGGCCAACTGATATATATATATAAAAAATTAGCCGGGCATGGTGGCTCATGCCTGTAGTCCCAGCTACTCGGGAGGCTGAGGCAGAAGGATTGCTTGAGCCCAGGAGTTTGAGGTTGCTGTGAGCTAGGCTGACGCCACGGCACTCACTCTAGCCTGGACAACAAAGCGAGACTCTGTCTCAAAAAAAAAAAAAAAAAAAAAAAAAAGAAAACATGTCTCACTGCTTGCAGCCTTTTACCATATATCAAAGAATAAAATTTAACCCATGTAGTTAAGAAAATTAAGGAAACAATTACTTCACCAGGGTTACAGTAGGTATCTCAAAACATGCTTTGGAAATACTTTCAAACGGCAGTTTACAAACAACTCTTTCCTAGAAATGACCTTCTTTTCTTGATTTCAGAAATAATATATGTATTATAGGAGATTAACTACTTCATGGATCCTGTCATTATGAAAGTTTAACTTACCGAGGGCCTTGGTTAATTATAAAAAGGAGGAGGCGATGCTATTTATGGCACTGAGGTGAAGTTGCCAGTGGAAAAAATATAGGTATTTTCCAATTTTCAACATACAACACACCTTAGGTAGATGAGGGGATTTTTGTTCTTACAGTAACATTTCTACCTAGCTGGTAGTAAGTAGGTTTAATGTTTTTTAAGGAGACCAGTGAGGAATATTAATATCAATTAGAGGTGAAGCCATTCAGGTAATTTTATACTTGTTTATAATTAACTGTTTCATGATTAGATTTTTCAATGTTGTGTGTGTTAACTTTGTGTTACGTTCAATCAGGAAAGAAAAGCAACAGTTAAAACCTAAAACAAGGCCGGGCGTAGTGGCTCACTCCTGTAATCCTAGCACTTTGGGAGGCCGAGGCGGGCGGATTGCTCAAGGTCAGGAGTTCGAAACCAGCCTGAGCAAGACCCCGTCTCTACCAAAAGTAGAAATAAATTAATTGACTTGCTAAAAATATATATACAAAAAATTAGCCGGGCATGGTGGCGCATGCCTGTAGTCCCAGCTACTCAGGAGACTGAGGCAGAAGGATCACTGAGCCCCAGAGATTGAGGTTGCTGTGAGCCAGGCTGACGCCACGGCACTCACTCTAGCCTGGGCAACAAAGTGAGACTCTGTCTCAAAAAAAAACAAAAACCTAAAACAAAAACAAAAACAACAGCATTGTATTAATTGCTGAGATTTTCCTCAAACAAAATAATGTAAAGAATATATAACTACTACTACTTCATCTCTAAGCAGTATGAATTTTGAAGAGATTCACAAAACCTCTTTTTAAAAGTATAAATCAATATATAAACGTACATGTTATAAGCAACAGACAGCTCTCTGATGTCTTAAAATTCTTCCTCTTGTTACCACTGGGGTTTTAGTGGTAGACACTCTCTTGAGTACTCATCATGTGCCAGGTAGTTGCATTCATTTTTTTCTAATCATGTATTTATTCAACAAATATTAATTCAGTACCTACTGCTTGCTGGCACGTGTGTCAACTGCTGGGCTACCACCATCAGATATTAGTCCTGCCTTCCAGGAGGTTCCAGAATTGTAGGAGAGGCTACAGCTCTGCAAGATGAGTAATGTGATCTCCATTTTATGGAAAGCAGGATGGAGGATTAACCAAGACTGGCTGCTGGCATGCTTTCCGCCAGGCAAAGCTGCTTTCTCCACTCTGCCTACCTAGTTTCACACATCTTTGCAGAACGGTTTTTATCAAATAGTTGTGAAAAAGGATAAAAACTCCCTGAGTGGAAATGCAAAAAAATCCTTCTGTTTAAAATTCACCACTCTCAATCTTTTGGTAATATAAAAACAATTATTAAATACCAGCTATATTTCAGACTGGGCGTTGGCTTAAAAGAAAAAAGGATACAAGCCTAAATAAGGCCTAAAACCCACATTTCTAGCAGATGTGGAAAAACAAACTTAATTGCAACGTGAAGGGCTTAGGGGCCTATGTTATTCCTAAAATATGCAGAAGCTTGGAATTATTGGTATTGGTTGATTTTTCTCTACTTTTTCCTGATTGTATGTAGTCATGACAAGGCTGAGCGACAGATGGCAGGGGAGCCATGGGAGTATGGTTTGAGAAGTAGGCAAAGAAAAATCCTATGGACCAAAGCTCTACTAGGCCTTGCCTCAGTAAGCATTTTTGCTTTCTTTGGCTATGACTAGATGAGATTGTTGCAGTTAATTATCAAGTGTCTGTTCCAACTAAAGATGATTGTTGTGCTAAAGCCTTTCTTTTGCTTTTTCTTTTCTGCCATCTCTCCCACCTGATATAATTTAATCTAACCAGACCCTTCAGAACCATAGTAGAAAGGTTGAGCTAGAAGGTACAAAGCTCCAGGGAGAGACTAAGGGCATCAGAAGACTGCCAGGCCACTTCCCTGTTTGCTCGGTAAATATAGTTCTGCAAGGTGCAGTCTTGGTTTCTTAGTCACTTCCTCATTGGCCTTCTTACCTACAGCCCCTCATCCCAATCACCAGCTTTCACAGCTTCTAGAACACTGATCATGCCACTTCCTCCATGAACGCCTCTATCTGCCTGAAGTTTACAGAAGGAAGCCCAAATGCATAAGAGTGACGCAGGATGCCCTTCATAGCCTCGGCCTAATCCCCACCTTCCTTTTGCAGCTATCTCTCTCTTATCTTTCCACACCAGAGGCACACACAGAATCGCTCTGTGTTCCCTGACCACGTTGTGATCTTTCAGGCCTCCACACCTTTGCACAAACTAGTGCAGCTACTAGCAATATCCCTTTCCTTGCTAGCTAGGAAAAGGAAACTCATTTTTTAAGACCCAAATACAATGATCTCTCCCTCAGTAAAAACTTCACTTGGTCTTGCAGGTAGCTTTGGTCACTCTGCTTTTTCAACATTTTGCATATAATTTTATTATTACAGCACTAATATCATTGAACTATAATATTCAAATTTTGCAAGTCGAATCTCTAATCATTTTTCCCTAACAGCAGCCCCAGTTGCTCTTAAGTCACCTGTTTTTCTGACTTAGGACCTAGTGTAGAGCAAAGCATCAGTAAAATATGTTAATAATGTCCAAGCTAAAAGAAACAAAAGCACACATTGAGAAATGATGCAATTATTCCATACCAGTTTATTGTAGGCATTGTTTCAAAAAATTTATAGCATAAATAACTTTTCATGTCATAAAATAACTTAGTACGATTTATAATAAAACTTTTGAGAATTAACATCTCATCGAAATACAATAAAATATGGTTTTAAAATATGATGAACCCATTCAGCTTTTCTTTTTCTTTTTTTTTTTTTTTTTGAGGGCATATAAACCAAAAATACCCAAACTATGGCTGCACATTTAAACTTTAACAAAGCATATTTGGTTTATTTTAATGTAACTCAACCATCCTAAATTAATACATAGTTTTCCTTCCTGCGTGGTTCTCTGTAATTTTTGTTCCTTTTGACTTGTATTTCTGTTTCAACACAGCTTCCTTCTTCATTTTCACCTCTATCCATCTGCAAAGTCATCTATCTCCGGGCCCCTAGAACATGTAGTTGAACTCACTCAGCCCCTTGACATCAGTTTCTGTAATCCTTGCATCAGTGTAGGGAGTAACTGCTTGAGTAACTACAAAGGTATTTCAAAAACTTCAGTGCAATTTGGTTCAGTTATTTTCATTCAGATGCCATCACCGTTCAGGGAGGTTAATCACTGGAACCCACTGATCCATGTAGCGGCTTTCCCGGCAAAAACAAATAAGTTGACTTAAGGCAGGATCCTTCCATTGCGACGAATGTGGATTCTGGGAACAAATTTAGAACAATAAACTTACTATTAAAAAAAAATCAGCATTTGCTAATCATTATACTACTTTGGAGGGGAAGACACTTAAACATTCTATATTTTGGCTATGTGACAGGGAGACAAGTTACAAGCACAAAAAATAAAGTTTCTTCTAGGTAGTTGGGTTTCCTGCAAAACTGTCACGGGTAATTATCTATTAAACTACACTCTGCAAAGACTGAACACTTGCCATCTGCGTTGAGCCACATACATGTTTGCGTGATATCCTTTCAGTTTTGCATAAGAGTATCTTGTGTACCCTGGCAGAGAGCCCTGAGTGAAAGTTTTGGGAAAGATTTCCGTGCTGCATGTACGATGAGATGAGAGGTCCTCAGCAGTTAAATGGAATTGCCAGCAGTTGTCTTCCCAAAAGACAGAGCAGTACTTTCCAGGACTAGCAAAATAATTAGGCTGCCACTTCCCCAATCAAAAAGGAGTAAAATTTAGAAGACAAAGGCAGCACACTTACCTATGAAAACACAATTTATCTACCTACCAAAGGTTTTCATCAGGAAAAAAAAGGTCCATTTAACAAAATGCAAGATTGCAAAGAAAAAAGAATTCCACTCTATCCTCTTAATGTATTTCTAGAGAATAAGGTCTGTCTCCTACACCATTTCTATTTTTAGCTTTGACTGGCAGAGAATGAAGCTGACTCCTTAATGAAGGGTGAGCCAGGAATTTATTTGGCTTTATCTAATCTGCCCTGTTAAAGGAATTAGTCACGGGAGGTAGTACAGATGTAGGTAGGGAGTAGCTGGGCTGACTGCTGACTCACAGGGATCTAGGGATCTCTTCCGCTGCTGGCAGCCTCCAACATGCTTAGACATGTTCTGTACCAGAGAAAATCCTGACGATGAAACTAGTACATCTCGGCTGAAAGTCCAGCCGCTCATCAGCGGGGCAAAGGCAAGCACTCTCTTGACCCCCACCCCTTCCAGATCTGCAGTCAGGCGCCGGCCCTGCTCCCCTCCTTCCCGGGTTCCAGCCCGCGCTCTTACCGTCACCAGCACGCAGTGCAGGTCCGGGGGCTGCGCGGCGCCCTCGCTCGCCGCCGGGCTCGTGTCGGTCTCCAGGAGCAGGAGCTCGGCCAGCCGGCCCGGGTTGCTGACGCGCAGGATGTTGATGTCGTTCTCGCAGCAGAATGCCTGGATCAGGGTGAAGTGGATCTGCAGAGCCACATCCCTGTCGTCGTCCTCGTCCGCCGCCAGCAGGCACAGCACCACGTTATCAGGGTCGCTGGGGGCAGCGGGCGGGGCCAGTGACCACAGGGCCACGACCCACCCGCGTGGGCGCCCGCAGCCCCGCCCGGGTCCCCGGGGGGCGCCACCCGGCTCGCGCGCTCCCCTGGGGCTGGCAGCCACGGGGGCAGATGGAAAGCGGCCGAAGGCGGCGCTGCAGGGGGTGGGAGGGGTGCGGCGAGAAGACACGCAAGGGCCCCACTTACACATTGAGCAGCTTGGCCGCCTCGTACACCCCGACGGTGATAGTGCGCTGACTCAGGGCTTTGCTGAGCACTTCCTCCAGGGCATCCCCCACCTTATCCATCCTACACGCCGGCAAAGGTGAGGGGGTCCCGTCAGCCCGGCTGCCCTTGGCGCCGTCGCCACCCTCAACCCCGCATCACCACCGACCCTCCCTCCCTCCCCGAGTGCAAGTGCCACCGTGCACCCGGGCTTTCCGCAAGTCCAGGGCTCCCCCAGCTCCGTCACCCCCCATGACCCCTTGCAGCCCCTGTGAGGAGCCCCAAGAGTGCCCCCTGCTACCCTGCCCGGAGGACACTGCCACAGGCTGTGGGAGCCGCGGGAGCCGCACGGGCAGCGACGGCCACTTCTGCCCTTTGTAAAGGCCCCTGGCAGGACTCGGCCGGATTAGGGGGCAAATTCTTTCCACCCACGGGCGCCCTTGGGAGGCACCTCTGCAAACTTTCCCGCTCGTTCTCCTGCAAACCATCCACGGCCCGGCTGCACTGGGGTGCACGGGGAGCAAAAGAGGAGTTCGGTCCGAAAAGGCCGCAGACCGACTTACCTTTCAGTCTTCTGCTCTCCAGCCGAGAATTCTTCCAAAGTCATATTGCAACTGCAGGTCGCCCACAGAGAGAGCGCGGCGTGCGGGCTGCTCCTGCCACCGTGCGCGCGCGGGCGCCTGCTCTCTGCTCCCGCTTACCCGCGCCGCGCGGCAAGCTCCGGCCCCGGCGCGCTCCGGCCTCCCCTCGCCCGCCCGGGCTCCTCCTCCAGCGTCCGCCGCCGCCGCCGCGCAGTTCTCCCTCCCGCCCCACTCGCTCGTCCGCAGGCTCTAGGGCCCTCGTCTCGCCGCCCGCAGCGACACCTACCCGGCAGCTGCCTCCCAGCCACTGGAGGACAAAAGGCCCCGCTCGCCGGAGTTATCCTGCCAAGCTTCAGCCAACCACCTCCCGCCTCATTTGCATACGGCGCGGCCATTGGCCTATGCAAATGAGTCTGCTGTGGCAATTTGGCCCCAGCCCCTGGAACTAGGCTAAGAGGAGCAGAAGGGGGAGGAGCCACGCGGGAGGTGACCCGAGGGGAGGGGGCGGTGCTGGTGCCGCCAGAGGTAGAAAGGCGGGTCCCCTGCAGGCGGTCTTGCCAGGTTGGTGGGGGCCCTGTGGAGTGGAGGGCTTCGCAGTGGCAGGAGGTGTCTTCAACTTGGGCCCAAGCAGCCTGCCAAGTGTTTTTCTAGTTGGTGCACTTTTTAAAAAAATTACCGTTTCATGTCGTTTGTTTTAAGGGGTGGCTATTAAAATCTATTTCCAGGGTTAATGCACCCAAGTCTAGTAATTATTAGTAAGCGAGATTACATAAAGAAAAGTGTCTCCAGACCTCTGGGGCAAAGTTTACCTCAGAAGTGTTGTTTGTGTAAGTCTAGGCAAAGCTGCTTATTAGTAGTAGTATTATTTCGGTGCCCTGATGGCTGGTTTGATTTATTTTTGGAAGGTTGCAAGGGTTGGAAGCTCAAAAAAGAAAAACCAACACATTTGTGTTTAGTGATGGCAGGGAACCAAGTTGCAATCTTTTCCACTAAAAGCAGAAAGGCATCCCACCTGCCCAGTGTAATTCTGGAAAACTGCGCGCTGGGATAGGTGGAGAGCCGGGATAGGTGGGGACCTGGTGACCACATGTGTGAATCCCAGCCTGACAACCCAAATTCACCTTTCTGAAGGAGCCTTTCCCAAAGAAGGATCCTTCTGCACTCCTACCAGCTGAGAGACAAATATCTGACACCCCCACAAGCCACAAGTCTTAATTCAAAATGCTCTCGATATGCCCTAAGCTTCCCTTCATAAGGCATGTATGTCACTACCTTCCACAGAGAGCCTATGATCTCACTGTGAATTATTGATGTTGCTGCTGAATCATGAAGCTGTAGCTATAGGAAGTTTTAGTCATATGCTAACATTTCACCTTTGAGATAATGGCAACTTGTAGGTGGAAAGCAGACCTTTATAACTGTAAGCAGTAGTTAGACATTTTTGAAAAACAAACTTTATAGACTCTCACTGAATAGTTTGAAAGCCCCTTCCTTTGTTTTATGAGTTTATGCAATAAATGCAAAAACATTTCTGAAGCCTACCGAAGTCACCAGAAGTAGTGAAAATGCCTCCCACATGCTTGCATTCAAAACAATGCTTGCATTATTAAGGTCACTACTCAGCCAAAGGTCACAGAAGAAATTTTTTGCAAAGGTACATGGGAGTTTTGCACCCTTATGTTTTTATCATTCTAGTTCTCGTGATCTTAATTTAGTGAAAATGGAAAGTGATAGGTCAGTTTTCTGGTTCATTTATTTGAGCTGCCATTTTGCACTCAATTTCTAACTGCGTTGTTAGAACATTTGAGTAAAGAAATGGTCATGGTCAGTGCATAATTCACTCAAGGAAAATTGTGTACCTCACATTTATACCTTAAATCCTAGCATGTGATGTCTTTGTTAAAGAATTTCCTCAACATAGAAATTTAAGTAGGTTCTGAAGCATTTTCAGTTTTGCAGACAAAACCTGAGTTACACAATCTGGCCTGAGTCATCATTTGGAGATTGTTGAACTGTTCTAAGGAACTTCAAGGTTGTATCCACTAGGCATTGCTTAGAAATTCTTTGGAAGGAAATGTGATCATAGCAAGCTGATAACGAATTAGGGATCATGTGAGTTTCTTGACAGGAGGGACTGTGACTTATCAACTTGGTGTCCTCAGCACCTAGCACAATTCCTGCATTTAATTGAAGCAGTCAGTGTTAATTGAGTCAAGTAGAATCTGAGAGTTAAACAACATCTCAGAATCCTGCAGTCCTGTGCATTGCATGAATTCTAAGGTAGTCCACATTTAACTTTAGTTCAAAAACACTTTTTCATGTCCTACTATATACCAAGACCTGTACAATTCCTGGTCCTTTGCCTTTAAACAGCTTACTATCTAACTGGTATGTCCAGGCTTGAACTGGATTTTGGGACAAAATAGTATGCACTGTCATCAGCTAGCTATGCTGAAAGTCCCATGACTTTAGTCATCTGAATGGAAGCTGTAGGACAGTAGAACCCATGTATTGTTTACACCAATTCAAATGAACCAAAGTTCTAATAGTGCCCCGCCCAAGTCAACCATATGCAGTAAAAATGTGGTTTGAAATGGCTCCTTATCATAGGCTTTGTCCCTCACTCAAAAACTATACTGCACGCTATTTCCTGGGAAAGTTATTTGTTCAAGTGTTGTCGAGGTTTTCTCTGTGAGATAAGCTCAGGCTTCCAGTATTCAAAAATATTCATTTGTCATACTTTCTGACTCAGATATATTACATCATTTTACTCAGTGCTGAGTCTACCTAGAATGTTTCATCAGTGATTATCTTCAAAGTTGGGCCTTGTGGCTGGAAGTAGAAACTACTTCTAGCTACACAGTTAGATTGCAGTTATACATTAGAATGATCATAGATGATTTATTTAATGCTCATTAGTCCTAGGGGGAGTTGGTATCAAATTGTAAATCAGAGAAATTTTCCTACATCATTGTAACTGATATGTATATACTTTTTTAAAAAATCAGTGTAATAACTCCAACATGTGAAGGCATTTTTAAAACTACTACAGGTAATCCTGAGTACTATAAGTACTCAAGTATACAGGACTAGAATTACCTTGTAGTAATGTTTGTAAGGATGCCAAATGGTTATATTTGGAAATCATATGGAAATATGTACTCAAGAATTTCTCAATTATTTTAGCATTGCTCCCTGCTTTGCATATTAAAGATCTTTTTGATATTTTCTTCACTCTTATCATACATACATTCCCACTACTGGTTCTATAATACAGAATTATTATATTTCTTTATTTCAAAAATTGTCAGTGCTTTAACAACTGAAAGAAATATAATGCTTAGACAAATCATTGTTTACATTAAAGGAGAAGATTAGACTATGACAGATATATTTATCACCTACCTAAAATTATATTATATTTTTATTGTTAAAAATCATAAAGTTCCTAGCTAGGCACGGTGGCTCACACCTCTAATCTTAGCACTTTGGGAGGCCAAGGCAGGAGCATCTCTTGGGCCCAGGAGTTTGAGATAAGCGTGGCTGGGCAACATGGTGAGACTCTCTACAAAAAATTTAAAAATTAGCTGGGTATAGTGGCATGCACCAATAGTCCCAGCTACTTAGGAGTCTGAGGCAAGAGCATCACTTGAGTGAGGAGTTCAAGGTTGCAGTAAGTTGTGATCTTGCCACTGTACTCTAGACTGGGTGACAGAGTGGGCCCCCGTTTCTTAGAAAAACAACTACCTCCAGGCACTGTGGCTCATGCCTGTAATCCTAGCACTCTGGGAGGCTGAGGCCAGGGGATTGCTCAAGGTCAGGAGTTCAAAACCAGCTTGAGCAAGACTGAGACCCCATCTCTACTATAAATAGAAAGAAATTACTTGGCCAACTAAAAATATATAGAAAAATTAGCCAGGCATGGTGGTGCATGCCTGTAGTCCCAGCTACTCGGGAGGCTAAGGCAGAAGGATCACTTGAGCCCGGGAGTCTGAGGGTGCTGTGAGCTAGGCTGATGCCATGGCACTCTAGCCCAGGCAACAGAGTGAGACTCTGTCTCAAAACAAACAAACAAAAAACCCCCACAACTACCAAATGTAAGTTTCCTGACTTTTTTTTTTTTTTTTTGTATAAATCTGGTGAAGTTATTTGCTCAAGGCAGGCCTGCGAATTTCCCTCATTTTTTTCCCCAGGGAAGATCATTCAAACAAGATTTGCTGTCACCTAAAAATAGATCTTTCTTAGGACCAGTACTTCTATTTCAATCTAACATCAAGTTTTAGTCTCTTGGACAATCACTGTGGTGGGCACAATTCTAAGATGTCCTCAATATCTCTAACCCTTGGTGTTATACTCTGTATATCCCCTCTCCCTGATTGTGGGCAAAACCCATGACTTTCTAACCAATAGACTATGGCAATAGTGTTGGGCTATCATGCCCACGATTATATTACATTCTACTGCAAAGGTGAAAGGATTTGGCAGATACAATTAAGGCCCTTAATTCATTGACATCCAGTTAATCAAAAGAGAGATTATCCCAGGCAGGCCTGGCTTAATCACGAGAGTCCTGTGGAAAAGGGCCCAGGACTTCTCCCAAGAGAGCCTGGAAGCATGAAACTCTCCACTGCTGGCTTGGAAGAAGCAGACTACAACTCAAAGGAAATGAAGTTTTCCAACATATGCTTCCCTAGTCTAGCCTCTAGATGAGAATGCACCATGGCCAATACTGATCTTAGCTTTCTGAGACCCTAAGAAGGAAATCCAGCTGAGCCATGCAAGGACTTCTGAGGTACAGAAACTGTGAGACAATAAATAGGTGCTGTTTTAAGCCCTTAAGTTTTTTTTTGGTTTTTTTTTTTGAGACAGAGTCTAACTCTGTTGCCCTGGCTTGAGTGCCATGGCAGCATCATAGTTCACAACAACCTCAAACTCCTGGGCTCAAGCTGTTCTCTTGCCTCAGCTTCCTGAGTAGCTGGGACTACAGGCGTGTGCCACCACACCCAGCTAATTTTTTCTATTTTTAATAGAGACAGGGTCTCACTCTTGTTCAGGCTGGTCTCGAACTCCTGAGCTCAAGCAATCCGCCTGCCTAGACCTTCAAGAGTGCTAGGGGTACAGGCGTGAGCCACCACGCCTAGCCAAGCCCCTAAGTTTGTGGTAATTTGTTACTTACCATCAAAAATTAATATAATACCCTTAATGCCATCTTTGTGTGTGTGTGTGTTCAATAAATCCTTATCCTGTGGAAATTCCCTTCAGCTAATAAGAATTATGGTAGTGAAGTCATGGTGTTGATTTGAGCTTTGGGCTAACTACCTTGTGCTGCCACCAGCTGTTCACGTTTCACCAGCCAAGCAGGGCCCAGTCAGTTGAGGTGTCAGATGAAGAGACTCACTAGGACATTCAAGATTCCCCTCACCAACCCAGCTTCCCCACATCCCTAAGATTCCACCACAGGAGGAATGTTCTGAGAGGCTTTGCTTGGCAGGCTAATCACTGGTAAGGAAGGTAGGTGGTCTGAGTTGGTAATTAGCCATTGGTAGTTTGTTTTTGCACCTTGAACATATTTCTGAGTTTTCTTTCTCTGAAATAGAAGAGACAATTCTATTCGCCCATCAACTTCCTTGCAAAGTTTTCTTCTTCCAAACCACTTAACAGCTCAGTCCTTGGACCTCTTCTCTTCTCTGTCTATATTTACTCTCCTGGTGATCTCATCTGGTCTCATGGCTATATGCTGATGACTCCCAAATATATTTCCAACCTAGTCAGTCATCTGTTCTGAGCCTCAGAGCTTACTCATCATTTCTGTGTCAATATCCAATAAGCATCTCAAACTTAAAATGACAAAACTTGCTCTCCTGATTGTCCTCCTGAATCTGTCCCTACTCAATGGCAACTCCATTCTTCCCATTGTTCAGCCCCCAAACCTTGGTGTCATTCTTGACTACTTTCTCTCACAGCCCACACCCAGCCCATCAGCAAATCCTATCCACTGTGCTTCAAAATGTGACATAATTCAACCACTTCTCATCACTAACACTATCACCTCCCACCTGGTCTCTCTTTGCTTTGCCCCTGCTCCATTCATCTTCAGCAACCAAAGTGATCCTATAAGTAACAAATCAGACCACGGTCAATTCTCAGACCTAAACTTACCAATGGCTTCTTTTCACTCAGAGTAAAAGCCAAAGTCCTTACTATGGCTTAAAATATCCTACAGAATTTGTTCCCCACAATGAAAATGTTCTAATGTTGATAGTGGTAATAATCGCACAACTCTGTGGATACAGTAAAAACCATGGAATAGTACATTTAGGGTGAATTGGATAGGGTGTAAATTATATCTCAATAAAGCTGTTATAAAAACAATCTGATCCCTGGTCCAATGTCATCTTCTATTCCCCTCCCTCTCCCCCACTCCATGCTTATTCTTCCCTAGCTGCACTGGCCTTCCTTCTGCCGCAGGGCATTGGTACTGACTGAATGCCTGGAATCGTCTTTCTCCTCATGTCCACACAGCTCATTCCCTTCAAGTCCTCTTCCTAGCCAAGCCCCACCCTGCCCACTCTATGTTAGCTGCAATACCTTCACGCCTTGACACTACTAATCCCTTCAACCCTGTTCTTTCTCTTTTAGAAATCATACCATTGATGACCTTCTCACATATCTTTTACTCATATGTATTGTTTTTTATCTGAATCCCCTCTGCTGCCCACCCTACTCCCCAAGAATAGGTTCAATGGGGTTGAATAATTTTTTTGTTCACTGATTAATCCCCAAATGACTACAAAAGTGCCTTGCACAAAGTGGACTCAAGAAATATATGTTAAAGCAGGTATTGTTGAATGAATAAGGTGTACAGATTTAAAGATGTAATTAATGAACTAGATCATAGGGCTATAAACCTTCTGGTCTCTTTTCATATATAAGAAGTCTTGATGAAATATTAATACTAGTTTGCTGCTTGGAATTTTTTAATGACAGAAGGTTATGTGCCCTTTTCTGCATTTTATATTCCTCTTCATCCTCCCTCCACCCCCACCCAAATGTTTTCTTGTATATATTATTTTCAGGAGCTACCAACTGGCCCATTTTGTAAATGAAGGATTTGTGACCTCTACCAGTCTGTACTGCATATACATATAAAACCCAGTAGATTAAAAGGCACTTAATTGCCAAGCTTCAAGTCTCGTTCTTTCAATGTAGCATAAAGAGATTATAATGATGATGAAAACAACCTCGAGAGGTTTTATGAAGGTGAGTTTTGAAGTGGAAGATTCAAAAGGGCAAAGATGTTTTGTTTTGTTATAGAAGCAACATGCAAAAATTGCAAATGGATATGAAATTAAGGAACTCAAGTAATATCTAGGAGACTGAGAACAAAAGAAAAAGGAGTACAGGAAAATAAGAGCATTCTTTACTACTCTTTGAACTTTTACCTCTCTCTCTGGCTTTAGTGCTTATAAGTGTTTAATCTTTATTAACTGTAATTTTCTACCAGGAAAGCTTATACTTTGAAATTGTTCATTCGATTTGTTGTTGTTATTCTGTGAATAACATGCATTCTTATATTTCTCTCTGGTCCTCCTTTCCTTTGGCAATGAAATGTCAGTCTCAAGATCTGAAATATATTAAATATTAAAACAGGTTAATTTAGGCACTATAAGACTGATCTTTTGAAGGTCTAGGTGAACATGGTCTTTTGGCATCCTCATTTCTGGACGGCTGCTCTCGGAGGCTGGCCATGTCTATCTGACATGCTTTTCTGGCTACTGTATGACTTTATATTGTAAAGGTCCTAAGTAGCTTCATTTTTAGTAACCAAAGAATGCAGTGAACAGACTGTTATCTGGCTGTCCATTATGAACACTTTACTCCTGTGCTTCTTGGACCATATCAGTCTGTGGCAAAGTGATGGATTGTGTTTAACATTCTGTTGTTGACCTATAAGGATTTCTGCCATATGTTCCTGCTCATTCCCTTAAGATATAGGGGGAAAAGGCTTATTAGTATCACTGGCCACTAAGCAGAAATGTGTCAGGGATTTTGCTTTCTCAGCTGGAGCCTCCCCTTTGGCAAGCCATCCTCCCTATTTTAGGAAAGCATCACCATCAAATACAAGAAGGCCTGTTTATAGGCTTGTTTATATTTTATATCTGATTTGCATTTAAGGAAGTTTTGAAATGATGCTGTCAAATTAAGACCTATGTGGCTACTTTGCATACACAGCCAACTGTGGTACATCTAATGTGATGTCCCTCCAAGAATGTGGCTTGCATGATGTGTGAGCTCAGGTAGGCTGTTTACCCTGTCCCTTCCTCAGTTTCCTCATTTGTCAAATACTTGTGAACTTTTTTTTTTTTGTGAGACAGAGTCTCACTTTGTTGCCCAGGCTAGAGTGAGTGCTGTGACGTCATCCTAGCTCACAGCAACCTCAATCTCCTGGACTCAAGCGATCTTCCTGCCTCAGCCTCCCAAGTAGCTGGGACTACAGGCATGCGCCACCATGACCAGCTAATTTTTTCTATATATATTAGTTGGCCAATGAATTTCTTTCTATTTATAGTAGAGACGGGGTCTCGCTCTTGCTCAGGCTGGTTTCGAGCTCCTGACCTCGAGCAATCTGCCCACCTCGTCCTCCCAGGATTACCTCGGCTTCCTAGGATTACAGGTGTGAGCCACCGTGCCAGGCCGTGAACTTTTTTTTTATTAAGAGAACTTCACTTCCCTGAAAGACATAGCAGGCATAATCCTCACATATAGATAGATAAAGGCAGAAATGTCCCGGCTGAAGTGGCCAGATGGGAGTGGGGGAGAGGGGCAGAGGTCTGCTCTTGCTCCCCCAACTCACTCACAGCCCTTGAGACACATGCCAGTCACAACTGGAAGTGAAGTTTGTTCTCCAAGACCCTTCCAGCTCTAACATTTTTTTACTTTAATAGTTTTGTTATTCTACAATTATTCTATAATTGTCTGCAGTCACTGAGAAACCTCAAATACCTTACCACAAAAACATATTTTTCTGGGCCTTAAAAAAAGTCAGTCCCCAGATAATGTGTCTAAAGAAATAAAAGCACATTCATATTCCTCTGCTTTAATATCAATTTTCAAAAATTTCATTCCATTTCTGTAGGCTAGTTGAGGTTATGTTACAACTTTTGCCTTGTTAACCTTAATTTATTGTCTGGTTACCAAATGCCACGGACTGTGATTTGGCACTGCGTCTTAGTAAACAGGTCGCACCTGGGAGCCAGTGAGAACTCTCCCATCTGAGAAGAAATAGCTACAACAGATGGTAAAACGACAGAAAACCAGGTGGGGTCATTGTTTAATGACCATGTGAATTAAGTTTGGTTAATTTGGCGTGTCTCTAATTATCCCTAGCAACTGGACCCTCTACTCCATTTTGTAAGTTTGGATTTATATCTTTTACGTAAACTATCAAAACAAGTCCATCTGTGACCCTGAAGCTATATTGCCTTAAATCTAACCACAGTGTAAATCCTAATTTCTTTGGCTCTAGTCGTCAGGAGCCCTTAAACACTGGGCTTTTATGAGGCTCTGCATTTTACTTTTTCTCAGCTTACTTGTCATCCATGACATGGGTACTTCCTGTCATTCTTTTCTAAGTTTTTATTAATAAAAAGTACTTCCTTTTAACCTAAGACACTTATTAGCATAGTTTCAAAAAAATCAGAGATTGCAACTTCAACCTATGTGCACCCCTTTAGAAGATTTTCTTATAAAATCTGTGAGCAACTGTGAGTTGGTATCGAGAGATGTTTCAGAGGATTCAGAAATTGTGCTGTCCTCAACACTACAACAGATTCAAAGCCTCCTGGCTTCTTCTTCCTTTTTTTTTATTTTTGTTGAGACAGAGTCTTGCTCTGTTGCCCTAGGTAGAGTTCAGTGGCGTCATCATAGCTCTCTGCAACCTCCAAATCCTTGGGCTCCCAGTGATCCTCCTGCCTCAGCCTCTTGAGTAGCTGAGACTAAAGGCCTGTGCCACAACACTAGACTCATTTTTGTATTGTTAGTAGAGACAGGGTCTCCTTCTTGCTCCGGCTGGTCTCGAACTCCTGACCTCAAGCAATCCTCCTGCCTCAGCCTCCTAGAGTGCTAGGATAACAGGCATGAGCTACCCACCGTGCCTGGCCCCTGCTGGCTTCTTTAAAGGCACTTATTTTCTGACTAGACCTATTTATTAATAATAAAAAAAACAAATTGGTTAATGTTTATCATATACTTGGCACTATGATAAACTTTTATTTACAGGACATCACTAGACCCTCACTATAATCTATGAGCTGGATACTATTATCTTCATTTTATTGCTGAGTAAGCTATAACCTATTGGAGAGGTTAAGCTAGTTATTAGCTCAACGGACCAAAACTAAGTGGCTGAGCCAAGATGCAAATATGCGTCTGTGGGCTCCAAATCTCACATTCTTAACCACATGCTATCCTCCTCTAGAACAGCTGTAGTTCACGTGGCCTCGGAGTGCAGTGCTCAGAATGCAGACTCAGGCTTGGGTAAGTCACCTAACCTCTTTTGTCTCTTTCCTGCCAAAAGCTATCTAATAAGTTTATTGTGAAGATTAAATGAGATAATATATGTACGGCACTTACAGTGCACGGCACATAATAGGACACCATGAATGTGAATTATATGACACCCATTTTCCAATTTCTTTTTCTTTTTTTCCCCCATTTTCCAATGTCTGTTCTAATTTTCTTTGTGCTTAATTCCTTCAACTAAGTAAAATATTGTATTTATTTCCATTTTCTCCAACAGCTGGGGCATCATTGCTGATGGCAAAGTACCGGACTTCACAGTCCTCACCTCCTGCTGTGAAAAATTCCCCTGAATTTTAATGCAGCCACAGATAAATCCAATGTATGTGCCCCCTCTCTGACTGCAGATAAACCGAGGTTCACCGTTTGTGCACTTTAGATCTTTAGGCAGTTTTGATAACATGAATGATGTATTTCTGTGTGTGCTAAGCAACAGGGCTGGATGTTATTCCAACCCTTCTCGTGATGTGTATGTGTGTGTGTGTGTGTGTGTTTAATGCAGAACAATGGATTTCTCAAATTCACTGTAGAACACCCATACATTTTCTTTTATCCTCTGAGAGCTTCCTGTATTTGTGAACTCCTTTCAAATCAGCAACTGCAGCCTCAACATCTGGATCCTCCCCACGGTAGGGAACATAAATTAACCGGCAGCGTCCTGTAAATGCTATGGGCGGGAGCTGGGGCGCACGCAGGCTGGCCGGGTGCTCTTGGTTTGCAGCAGCTGGTCCCAAGGCAGTGCCTCAGAACTGGTTTTAGCTGACGTCAGATAACGCTGATGTGCACCAGATTGGCTCGTAGTGCCAGTAAAGCTGACCCCTCCCACTTCCCTTACTGCCCCCGTGCTTGCCAGAATGCTGGAGACCATTATGAACTCACAGTTGTCATTTGATCTCCATCTGGCTGCTGTCACTAAAGCTGCCTTTTATCATTTGCCAAAAGTGTAACGCTAAAGACATTTCTCTTTCTCACAGATCTTTGCTTCCAGTCCTTGCTTTTCTAATTTTCTGGGTGGTTCCAAATAATTCTCCTTCTGTCTAGGTCTGGGTAGCTCCCTCAGGAAACTAACAAAGGACTCGCTGGAATATTTACTTATGTGTCTGCTTCTTGGCGAACTGGATTCAGCAACAGATTTTTGAGGAAGTATTAGAGGTGGGCTGTGGCTTTGCTGACTTCAAATATTATGTCTTAAGTTTGATGTGGTTTGAATTTCTGATATAAATGTGAGATTTGCGTGTATGAGCTCATGCTGTGGCAAATTTTATGAGGATGTAGATCACAACAGTCTAGCCATACAATTATGTGGGTCCCTGTATTGAATTAGAATCCACCCAAATTAAACAATAAATATAATCATAATATGCTATAAATTGAATCTTATAACAGCTTAATAATCTGAGGGGGACAGAAGAATGAATTCTGAGGTGATGCTTAGTGTACTCAGTCACTGGAATGTTCTTAAAGCTGATTGTAAATCTGGTACCAGCTTAAAGATTTACTGTTAGCAATCATCTAGTAGTTAAGATTTAGCAATCTTAGCACCACAGCCTAAGGATCATCCTTGGTCAAGAAAACTCTTTAGGGATGACATTTCACAGTCAGTAAGTGTTGATGGTGATGATGATGGAATATCATATGGTCCAAAAGTTTTGGAAACAAATTTGGGATCCTGATTTTTATGCAGTTTAGCAGATTAATCCTTTACGAGGAAATTATAAAGAAACTTTTATGTATGTTCTCAGTACATTGTTATAAAAAAAATAAAAGGTGCTACATTCTGTATTAATCTATACTCTATGTGTATGTAGCATAAGCAAAGAAATTGGAAGAACATACCTCAAAATGTAAGCAGATGACCAATGAGTGAGCTGTCAAAAAGAAATGTAGGCAGTGTTCCTCTTTGAGTGATAGAATTATCAGCCATTTTTTATTTTCTTATTTTTGCTTACTTTTATTTGGTGATATTTGATGTAATAAACATATGTTACTTTAAAAATATTTTTAGTTGAGGTAACATTTATCTTCAGTAAACATTCAGATCATAAAGGTATAGTCTAATGAGTTTTGACAAATCTATTTTTTTTTTTTTTGAGACAGTCTCACTCTGACCCCCAGGCTAGAATGCCATGGCATAATTATAGTTCACTGCAACCTCCAACTCCTGGGCTCAAGTGATTCTCCCGCCTCAGCCTCCTGAGTAGCTGGGACTACTGGCATGTGCCACCACTCCTGGCTAATTTTTCTGTTTTTGGTACAGACGGGATCTCACTCCTGCTCAGGCTGGTCTCAAACTCCTGACCTCAAGCAATCCTCCCTCCTCAGTCTCCCTGAGTGCTAGGATTACAGGTGTGAGCCACCAAGCCCAGCCCACAAATGTATATTCTTGTGTAACCCAATCAAGATGTAAAGTCCAATTAAGACATGATCCCATTAATGATATATCCCCAATCAAGATTATAACATTCCTATCACTCCAGAAAGCTCCATTCTTCCCCCTTCCAGTCAATCCCCACATCCAATAAGCAACCATTGTTCTGATTTCTATCAGCATAGATTAGTATGTATCACTTTATGATGAAAAAACTTAACAGTTTCTTAAAAGAAGATTTTGTGTAGGACACACACAAATTGAAAAAGTTCTCTGCCTTCAAGAATCTTACCTTGTTGGTGAGATGAGAAAATAACATAGAGAGTGCTTAGGAGGGAGTATGTAAGGGTTAAATCATGTCACTCAAGAGAACTCGGAGAAGAGCCAGATAATCAGGTACGATTTTATTAGAGCTTAGATCCGATATTTTATTCCAGTAGAAAAAAATGAAAAGGTTTATTAGACTATAAGCTCTACAAGGTCAGGGACTGTTGTTTATCTTGTTCACTGTATCCTCAGTGCCTTACACATTACCTGGCAGGGGGCACTGATTCATTCAATACTTGTGGACTGAATATGTGGATACCATGTATTCAGTTACTTAGTCAACGAATATTTATTTACTCTTCCAACAAATATTTATGGAATTCTTACTATGTGCCATGGATCGTGCTAAGCCCTGGAGATATAACAGTACAATGACAGACACGGTCCCTAACCTAATGGAGCGTACAGTGGTATCTCATGGGTATCTCACTGCTCCTGTATTCACAGTGGGTTAGAGACCGATAGAAGAGCACTATGCAGGAATAAAGAAGAAGGAGCTCGGTGAGCCTGAGGCACATTCAGAGGGAGGACTGGGCTTTGGCAAATGATTGGCTCTGATGAATACATGAAAAAAAAAAAAAGTGACTTCAGGTCCTGGCATGAACAACTTGGTTGATGGTAGAATTGCTTGATTTTTTTCTTGTGGATCATTATGCAAGAGGCCAAGCTCACAGATTGACTGTAGTGAGAGTCAGACATCTGTTAGTCACAGTTCAAGCCATGGATCTATATGTCCCTTGCATTCCTTAGGGGCAAAGGTGGTGATTTGCAGAGCCAGGTGGTGACTTGAAAGTATTTTTATTTGGTGCTCACCACCTGTTCTGTTAGGTTCCTCTTCCTTTTTCCCATTCTTCTACCAACCTTCATATCAGGTATATGAGAACTTATTCCTAAGCCTTAGTAGTAACCAAGGTGATTACTGATAATTGTGGCTCTCAGGTAGAGATGCCTTCTTTCTACCTCCTAAACCCTCACATACCTAGAATGTTTGCCTTTTAAGAGGAATGGGGTGGATACTAGGGGGATAAGGACAGGTCACAGAGCCAGTTGTTCCAATTGTTTCAATTGTAATTTCCAGGAGAAAGGAGGCTGCCCTTAGGCCTGGGCAGACTAGGTCCATCCTATTGTTCTCTATTTCCCTATATTTTCTTCTTTGCCTTTTTCTGGTATTTTCTTTGTACTCTTTGCCTATCATTTGCCTTTATTTTGAATCCTAGTTTTGTGACCTTGCAAAGTTTACTTATTAGTATGTCTGAACCTCTGTTTCTTCAACTACAGTTGGGGGACAGTATCAATGGCAGTGGATTCAGCACTTCCACATGGTAGTTTCTCAGTATTAGTTGCTTTTTCCCACCACCCACTTGTTGGCTCCATTGCTGGGAGTCCTACACTCAAGAAGTCACTCTCAGGCACGCTCACCTCATATAGGCAAACGTAGTGGCACCACCTCACTGGATTTGGGAGGTGTTTCTCTCATCTCTGTCCCCTTCCTCACTTGCCCAGTCTGTGAGGTCATGGCATCTTTGAGAGATGGTCATTTGTCTCCACAGGTTGTAAATGTATACCTTTGGACACAATCATATTATTAAGGGAGAGAATGTGGCTGGATCTGTGCAAATCCATCCCACTGTGGCGAAAGCAATTCAGTAAGTGTGCTATATTGATTACCAATTGCAAATTTCTTGTGTGTTAAGACTAGTCCTTAATTTGAAGAGTACACATGTGAATTAAGCAAAGTAACCCAAATCATTTGTATCTATGAATAATATATGCGTTTATCCAAATAAGTTAACAAGGGCCCAGCATCCATTCATTCACTTAGTCATACATAGCTATTAAGTACTTACTACATACAAGGGAGTGCACTAGATACTAGGTCTGTAGAACAAGACGGATTTCCAGCAGAGTTAACATTGAGATGCCCTTGAAACAACTAATTACAGGCCTGGGCAGTGGCTCCCGCCTGTAATCCTAGCACTCTGGGAGGCTGAGGCAGGAGGATTGCTCGAGGCCAGGAGTTCAAGACTCAGCCTGAGCAAGACTGAGACCCCATCTCTACCAAAAATGGAAAAATTAGCTGGGTGTGGTGATGCACATCTATAGTCCTAGCTACTCAGGAGGCTGAGGCAGGGGGATCACTTGAACCTAGCAGTTTGCAGGTACAATAGCTACAATGATGCCATTGCACGCTAGCCCGAGTGATAGAGCAAGACCCTGTTACCTGCTCCAAAAAAATAAACAACTAATGAAAGAATTAATTGTTGAATTATAATTGCAGCAAGTTCTACAAAGTTTATAGCAGGGAATCTGATCAAGTGGGGAAGTTGGGGGAGACTTCTAAGGAAATTACTGAAGCACTGAATATAAAGGCTGAAAGCAATTTGTGGGAAGAAGAAATGAGAAGAGCTGCCCAGTTGTTTGTAAGACGAAGATTCTCAGTTCCCCAGAGCTGGTGGTATTGTCTCCGGCTCTAACAGCAGGAGAGCTGATTTCAGGCCTTACTTTCTTGTTGATGTTCTGAAGCTGAGATCACGAAGGATCTTCCCACTTGGTTACTCCCAAAGGAAAGAAACCCACTCACCATGGAAAGCTAAGCAACCGGTTAAAATTGAGGAGAAAGTTAAAAAAGTATTAAGTATCATTTAATTTTCCTCACCAAAGACACACACAGGTTACCCAGAAACCTGACTTTATTGAGACAACTGTTTTACACACCCACGAGCTCACTCAGTCTTCCATTAACCTTCTGATACAGACGTAAACCTCAGTTTACACCCAGGGTAACTGAAGGTGAGAGAGGTTAAATAACTTGTCCCACAGCACACCTGTACCAACCTTCATCCCTCTGATTTGGAAACCCATGATCTTTCAGCTACACCAAGCTGCCCAGCTGTTCGCCTACTGTCACATGACTACTGTCCTTTTTGTCACCACCTGGAACGGTGAAGTTTAAAAAGTGACAGTTGTCTCTGGAACTGGAAAAATAAACCCTAGTACAATCTGCCATGTTCCCCTTTTTAAAAATTGTTATTTAACAAAGATGATTATGAGTTGTGAGCAGATCTATACTTTGACGATTTAAATTTGTGTATACTGACATTTTAGTACCTAAAACTTTAGTCCCTAAGTTTTATCAGCAAAGAGGTGAAAGGGAAGTTAGTGTGATTTGGAGAGTTTCCACACGTGGACTGAACCTTGAAATACTGAAAAGAAGGTACCATTAGAGGGTTAAGAAGAGGTAATTTAGTTGTGTAAACTATTGTCAGCCTCCCAGGATCCCGCTTCATATAAATGGAGCTGATATTGCTGTATCTACATTTAACCTCCAAAGCACTGTGTTTATTTTTATCCTTATTATATTGTATATCACATTCAAATAATGCTAGTAAACCAAAGAGAACTCAGGAAGCTTCCTGGGAATAGTTTGGTAATTGAGAAATCTCATCAGAAGGGTGTA